AGGGAGCTGCACCTGCAGCAGCATGCCAGCCATGAGTAACATTAATGAGCGAGTCAGCCAGGGAGCAGAGAGCCAGATGGAGAGACAAAGAGTACTGTCGAGGCGCCTGGAAAATCATCTTTCCCTCATCTTTGTCCCCAGCTACCTCGCCGTCCTCGCTTTATTACTTTACGTAGCAAAGTCATTCAGAGCAGGCAGAGCAAAGCGATGTTAACATGAAGGAAGAGATTGTATTATACTTCTCGGCGGTAGCGCTTATCTTGAAAGTGGGGCCAGTGTGACGTGCTCACAATTGCTACAAAAGCTGAAGAATATTCTCATAAAAGAATCGACAAGCATGGAGACAATGGCTGGCTCAGCTCTGACTGAGAAAGCAGGGCTTGTGATTCTTGCATATAAAACCATATGAGGTATATTGTATTGCCGTAACTTTGCTGTTTAGCAATTCTATTGCTGGAGTTCCAGGAAACTTAGAGATATATTCATGTTCTGGGCAGAAACGTGTTCTCCTTGCCATGTGGTTAATGCAGAGGGCAGACTCATTTTCAGTCAGTAAGCATCTGCTCTGTCCTCTGGTAATAAATTGATTTTATTTATGCATGGATTTTTAAGAAAAATCCTCAGCACTTTGTCTCAAGCAATCTATCCAAATATCCTTGAGTGCCATGAGATGAATATGATAACTTGTTTAGTCACTAAGCACACTGCAGAATTTGGGGAAACTGCTCCCTTTTCATGGGAAGATATCCATGAATATAAAAATAACCACTGCACATATTTTAACAAAAAACAAACACAGCATTTGGTGATGGACAAACACTGAAGCTGTGGCAGAAGAGAAGGATTTATGGAAATTTGAGAGCTGTTCAGAAATATTTTTTGAGCTTCATCACTGTTGTGCCTTTTTTCCCCCAGCTGGTAAATTCTCCAAGATTAGTTGAGGGAAATAATGAAGGAATGAGCAGGCAAGGAGATTTTGAAAGCTTCTCAGTAATACTGAGGCTTAGCTCTTCGTCTGTCTATTCTGTTTGGTTTTTTTTGAGGCTTCATCTGGAATGTAGCTAAGAGCCAGGATGCTTAGTAGATAGAGATGCGTGGTTTAAGTGTTGAAGAGGAGCAGTGACAACTTTTTTGTCTGCATTTCTACAGATAATGCTTCTCCATTCTTTCTTTGTTGCTGTGATTTTTAATTTTTCCCCCTCTTCTCTCCTGTCTCTGGCCCTTAAGGTTATCCCCAAGCTCTCAAAAGCCATGTGTTTATATCTCGTTCACAATGCTTCTCCTGTCTGGCAAGGCTATTTTTTGAAGAATTACAGTGGATCAGATTAAGTTGTTCATTAAATTTTAACATGTAGTCTCTAAAATACTCTGAAAGCTTCCTATGATTTGTGTTCCAAATGGGATAATCTCTCTTGGATTCATAACCAGCTCTGTCAAAACATAGGTTGGGCCTTTCATTATTGATAATAGCATTATCTGGTCCTGAGGAATGCAAATAAATGTGTTGGTAAACATACTGAATCAAGCAAATATCAATACCCATAAAGGAGAGAGTTTAAATATTAACCTTTAAAAATTAATAGTAATGTGGGCTCAGTGAATCTGAGTCCATTTAGATTTAGACGCAGACTGATTTTTTTGTTGACTGGTCACGTGTGAAGTGCTGTAAAGTTAGGTCTTTAATTTTTAGGGTTGCCATTAAAGTGATAAATTGAGCTTGAATAAACTGAAACGACTTCATTCCTGTGTGTTGTCTCTGACGCAAATGCAGCCAATCTGCTGCTTGCTGTTCTAAGGTCTTTTCAGTGCCAAGGTTGTTCTGCACAGAAGCTCTTGGATACCACTGGTATTTGTTTGCATTGCATAGAACAGCTTGTTAGAGCGCGCTCCAGTCATTGAGCAGATTCAGACTTGTTCCTATTCTTTGGGAATCTGTGCAAAGCAGAGGTTTCCTTTGTTTCTGATTATGAAGCTGAAAGGAAGGCATTTATACAGCCAGGGATGAATTCAGTGGTCATGAAAACAAGGACACTATAGCATTGGATGGCCAGACAGAAACGTGGGGACGTGTTGTGCATGAGTGGGTGATCTTGATTCTAACCTGCACGCTTCATCTAAGTGTGGGTTTGGAGAAATTACAGGATCAGCCCAAAGCAGTGTGCTGTTCTCCATGGAGGAAAGGGGGAGCAGTTTCAGGTGCAATTCCTCTTTCCAGTCGCTTTGGAGAGCTTAAGAGCAGAGTGGTATGAAGAAGCATGGTGAGGAGCTGCAGAATAATGGCCAGACTGCAAAGGTGCTTAGAAAGCAGATGTAGGATGGGCCCAGAATTAGACTATTCAAATAATAATAACAATATTCACACTGCTGCTACACTGATGCAGGCAGTGTGATATAAGGAACTGCCTTGAAGGTAGTAACAGGGATCTCAAGAAGTCACATAACTTGTTTAATTTTAACCAGTTTCAGTAGTTGAAGGATGAATTAAAGCTTTGTGATGTTTAGCTAACTGCCATGATAGAATAATAATAATAATCCTGAATTTTCCTTTTGTCTGTCCTAGGTTGGCCCAGCAAATCCAAAGGACCTACATGTGAGTAAACTTATATTCACTGCTGTACTGTGAAAAATGAGTGTGATATTTTACTGGTTTATTTAAGTGGCTGTGATCTAGGATTCTCATTATACTTTTCATTGTGTTGGATAGACTGAGATTCATCTCTATGCCCCCTTTCCATTTTTGATTCTTGCATCTAGGAAAGCTGGCTGCCCTCAGTTTGAGAGAGGGAGATCAGCTTCCTATGCTTCTCTGTGCTTGAAGGGATCCCTGTGCCTTCTGTAGTATTTAACTTCAAGTGATTCAAGAAAACAACATATCAGAATAAATATTTCATTAAAATGTAGAGAGAGATGCTTCTTGTGAACATTTTGAGAGGCTGACGGTATTGAGAGGGCAGAGAGGACAAGCTGAGGAAGGAAGTCTTTCCTTTAATTGACAAAAGCAAACATTTCATCACAGAGCATGATTTTAGATATATTCCATTGGATACTCCTGCTTTTCATTTCCTGGGCTCAGAAAGAGTCAAAAATCTTTGCAGTGTGCATATTATGGAAGTATGCAACTTTGGAAGGAATTGGGAAGGGTATTTGACTTTCTTATCTGTTTGAAATAATATTAAATTTTCTGTAAATTTTTGTTAAATTCTGAATTTTGATCTGTTTAATCTGAAATTTCCCCTCTTCTCACCCAAAAAAAAAAAAAAAAAAAAAAAAGAAAACAAGAGGAAATCAGGAGCAAATTATGAGGAAAATGGATTCATAGTGAAGAATTTAAAGGTGTGGGAGGGGAATTTTAGCACCTACCAAATTTTGGTCTTCAGAAGGTGGGGGCAAGAGAAGAGTTGATGAAACCCTCAATTTTTATCCAGTGCCTGAATATTACTCCTGGCAAGAAGAGTAGTATCACACATAGGTAGTATTAAGAGGCTTTCCATTGTTGGCCATGGTTGCTAGTAGGAAAATGAACTGTATTAGGAAAAAGCTCAGTAGTTCTCTGGTTCAACTCACCTTGGGTTAGAATAAGAAAGATGGAAACTGGTAGGAGCTTCATGGCAGAGAGAAGCAGGAAGGGTGTTGAATGGCATGATTGTTCTTCAAGAGAAACTATTTGTGAACTACAATCCAGGTTCTGACTCATCACCATCCTGGTGTCCCTTGATGACTGCTGCCTGCTAGGTTGAAGATACAGACTTCTGTACAGATATCTTCTTATGCAGCTTCCTTCTATCATAGAATCATAGAATTTTAGGAGTTGGAATGGACCTTACAGTCCCAACCCCCTGCCATGGGCAGGGACACCTCCTCACTAGACTAGGCTACTCAAGGCCTCATCCAGCCTGGCCATCACTGAGTCTTTCCTTTTCATCTGCTTGAGCCAATCATTTGAGAAGAGTTTTGAGTTTGTTCCTAGTACCATGGGAAGAGTCCTGGCAGTGGGATAGAAGAAAGTCTGCTTCTTATCACCTTGTTCCATTTGACAATTTTTTGCTTTCCTCCTCATGTCCCTCTTGAGTCCTACGCTGGTTACCATTGCAACTGAGACATTATGTTTTTAGGATATGTGGAATATTTTTCATCCGTGCAACCTATGTCTGCCACTGCTTCTCCAGCCCTTATGTTCAACTGTAGTGCCACAAGCAGTTACCACCTCCTGTTTATGCTGCCAGCTGTTACTGACTCTGCAGCAGGGATGGCAGATCAAGAAGTAAATTTGCTCTGGAACTGTGGCAAACTTCAGCTTGGGCTGTTAGTGCAAATACTGCTGGAATAGCTGCTGTGTGATGTGTAAAGCTGTGGATATGTCCTCAGCATGCTGACATGGGTGATAAGGAGGAACTGTAGACTGTCGAGTCTTCAGCTTCTGTGTCTGGATCTGTCAAGTCTCTGTTAAACTCAGCAATCTGTGTCTAGAAGAGGATTGCTAAAACGCTGCTGGTAACAAGCTGCTCTTAGTCAGGAGTGAAGATAGGGCACTGAAGGCACTCAAACAGCAAGCTCAGAAATGTTTGTACCTTTGTGAGAGTTACTGGGACCCAGTGACAGGATCATGGCCTTGTCTCAAGGGGTTGTACCTGCTTATCTGTGTGTGTTGATCTGCATCTGAAACCACATTTTCCTTTTAATGAACTGAAACCTCTGGGGAGTGTTCATCTTTCTCTACAAACAGGAGTTCCCCTGAGGCTCTGCTCCTGCAAAGTGTTGCCCTGGAGTTGGAGGACTGTCAAATTATGTGCTTCCAGATGTTGAAGGATTTGAAGTGTAACCCTTTAGGTGTGGGGCTGCTTAGATGAGTTATAGGATGTGCTAGGTGGGATTGGTCTAGAATGGGCTTGTTGCTGAACCCTTAAGAATAAAATGAGCTTTTGGCCCAGCCTAGTACAGTGATTCTTTTGTTATGGAAGGAGGAGGGGAACTTCTGGAGTTCCTGTGCTGAGAAGACTGCCTAATCTCAAGAAGTTGATTAGAATGGTTGTGAATAGTATGGCTTTGGGAGGAAGGACTCTACTAGAAATATGTGTATGTGTGTTTATTTCTTAAGGGTTAGGTAAGAGTTTCTTAATGCAGGAGGATGCCTTTGCAACATCAAAGTTTTGAGGCTTTTCCATATGCAACAGGACTGAACAGTGAGACACTGACAGAGTTTAAGAACTTGAGGATCGTGAAGTGTGTGTTCCTTCCAGGGACTGAAGTTTCAATGCAGAAATCTGAAGGGAGAAGCAGAGCAGGGTGAAGATGCAAATTACTGGAGGACTGGCTGTGTCTGCCTATAAGTGATCAAATGTCATGGATGGTGGTCTGGGAGTGAGAAACTGTGAAAGACCATAGAGCAATTGTGTATGAAAGAAGATACTTGAGGAATTTCAAGTGAAAGTTTCTGCCATGTTTAGAGTAGTATCTGACTTTAAGTTCTGCTTTTATTAGTTTGTGTCCAGTTTTATAGTTAAAAGCTGCTTTGCTCTTTCCTCTGTTCTGCATTTGACTGCTTCACCCACTACAGAGGAACCCTTTTTTGTAAAGAAGATAAACCTGTTAAAGCTGCCTGACCCTGGAACCTTGCCAACACTCCTTGCTGATGGTGATGTTTTCCAGGTGGGGTCTGTGTGTCACTGTATGTGTGGATGAAATTATATTAGAGTGGTTTAGGGACTTCTGGTGCTGCCTTTATTCTGGACCACCAGCATCCTGGAGGTTTATCTCCAAAAGTCTTAGCTGATGCTGCAGAGGCCTTTAGGAATGTCCTTCTGGTGAGTCATACGGTCTAGCTGGGAAGGGAGAAATGTGAGTTTTGAACAGTTTCCTTGGGCCTGTTCCACTTGTAACTGCAGAGCATCTGTCTTTGAAACTCAGAGCCCTGGAGATGCCCTTGCTGTGTAACTTGTCTTCAGTAGTTCAAGTTTTAGGCCTGCTGACATGCTTCTTGAAAAGGACCAGTATTGTCAGAGTTGTGCTGAGCCATGTGTTATGCTGCAGGCAAAGTGTGAAGTAACAGTATCATCCTATAGCTAAGTACTTCCATTCTGTCAGTGGTTTTGCTTTCCCTAGCAAAAGTAACCATTGAATGCTCCTGGAGAACAATCTTCAGGTTTCATTGTAAACACTTTCTTGGGTGTAATTGACTTAGTTTATAAGATACTAAGAAAAGATAAAGGCTTTGTAATTTGAGTGTTTATGTTCAATGTCACTTTCCTGTCAACTGAGGAAATTACTAATTTTTGATACATAAACTGAAAAAATCCAAACATAGTCACAAGCTGTGATGAATTTCCCTGTGAGTGCAAGTCTTAGTGAAACCAGTGAGGTTGGCAGGTTTATTTTTCCAGTTGTATGGCTTTAGAATTCCACTTCTTTGCCTTTCCCAAAATGCTAGTCTTGTTGCAAATGTTCTTGCCATTAGCCTAAAGCAGGGTTGACCTTTGAGCGTTCCCACTTTGAATCTCTTTACTTGCATTTACTTCTCAAATACTTACATGTTGTCTCTGATAGTTTGTGCTTTGATGGTGGCTGTCACCTCCATAGCTTTAAGTAAGCTAGACTTCACTTTTGGAATAGCTGGGGGAGAGGTACAGTGCTGGGAGAGCTGAGCTGTCTGTTGGTACAGGATCCCTGTTCAGTTTTGAGTCACGGAAGTGGTAGTGAAACAAATAGAGGCAGGTCACAGGACTGGCAGTCAGGCACTGTCAGCACACTTCTGTGTGGGAGGGGAGGTGTGTGCAATGGTGGCCAGATCACTGCTGGCATAAGGCCGTGCCCCTGGTGGGCGAACACACTGGAAGTGCAGTGTGGGTGCTGTGCAAAAGTGATTGACTCCTGTGATAAGTTCTGTCTCCTCTTAGCACCCTGGAGAATTGACATGCCTCCTGGCATGTGCCTCCAGCTGTGGAGACTCTTCAGGGCTGGAGCACCTTTTCAGAGAACTGTTTCTTTTTCTTTTTTTTCCTCTTTATTTTTCCTGTCAGGGTTGCCTTGGTCATGTTTGATCCCACTTTAACTGGGTCTTTCTAGACATGAGTTGATCCTATGTAAGAGCTGAGTCCTTGGGTAGGTAGTGGTATGACTGTGTGTGGGGGGGAAAGGGGACATTGCAGCTTGTCATCTGGTACACAGGTAGAGCTGCTTCTAGCATCCTTGATTCTTGCTGTCAGTAAAATGAAGAGGGACTGGTGGAAGCTGCTAATTAGGAGTGTTGTGCAGAGGTTCATTCTCTGACTACAGTCAGGGTGAGCAAATTCATAACTATTTTACTGCCTATCTCTGGCCACTCAGCACTTGTCTGAGGCAGGTCAGGAGTATTTCATGCTTGGCTGCATCAGCTGCCATGGAGAGATTTGAGAGAATGAAAATTAATGTCTGTTCTACATCCTCTGACAGCAGGGAAGCATCTTATCATTAAGTCTGCTTCCATCCACTGAACTCTTGACTTCATTAGTTGCTTTAGGTGGGGGAAATTTTTCTCCTGAGTTTGGTTAGTTAGTAGCACCAAGGGACAACTGGAGCTTTTGTGTTTTTCATTTAAAAATTACACTGAACCCAGCA